CATCCTAGTTTCCAGGTATCAGTCCAGCCTCCAGACAAGGGAATCCACAGTCTGGGATCTCAGCATCAACACTGCCTCCCTGTAACCCCACTCTATCCTTGACTACCCATACCAGAAACTGAAGTCTCTTATTGACCTTTGATAACTAATGCTCCCCTTCTCACACACACATACACACCTTATTCACCACTTCTGGGAACCCTTTTTTTCTCATATATTTAAATCCCTGTAAATAGATAGGTAAGGCAGCCTAGTTGTCTTACCAGCCATCCTGTTTGGGCTTGTCCTAGTCCATTCTGACAGGAAAGGCCAACAAAGCCAAGGAGCTAATGATGAGCAAGAGGGCAAGGACAGGCATAATCATTCAGAGAAGCCAGTGAGAGCCAAGACTGTGCAGGATCAAGCTTGGCAATTGTGCTGCATAGCTAAAGGGCACCAACTGAGGGGGGTGACAGACAGGGCACAGATACCATCTTCCCAGAGAGCTCTGTGCCATGAGGATAGTTACATGCCATGCTGGCTGCTCTGTTTGCTATTGTTTCATGACACTGTGTATGATACCCAGCTGGTTCGCTGAATAAAAGCAAGCTCTTGCTAACCCCTTTCTAATTTAAACCAGATCAAACAGGGTAGAAGCCCCAAAGATGGGTGTCAGCTCTGGTGTCCGCTTCTACCTTCTTCCTATTCTTTTCTCTATTCTCTATCGCAACTTTTCCCCCTCTTCCCTAGCCCCGATCAGAAAATTATCATAGAAAGGAATTTCCTAAGCAATTATTAATACTTTTAGAAAGGAAATTCTATGTAGCAAGAACTCAAAACAAAAATCACAAGAATTTTGGAATCAAAGAGACCTGTGTTCAAATCCTGACTTTGCTACCCCTAACTGGAATGTGTATGTGTGTGTGTGTGTCTGTGTGTGTGTGTGAGAGAGACAGAGAGAGAGAGAGAGAGAGAGAGAGAGAGAGAGAGAGAGAGAGGAGCAAAGCACCTGGTCTATTATAGACACTCAATAAACAGTAATTATTGGCCTATTTTTATTGATAAGATTTTTGTTGATAAGTTTTTGATGCACCCTGCTAGAAAGGGGAAAATGGACTATACAAAGAAAAGAAAGAAATGAGAGGGTTTGGACCATGTATACCTAAAAGGTGAGAGCAGTGAGGCAAGGCTGTGGTTCTGAGGAGAGAAATGAGCAAGACAGAGAAGTCATGGAGAGAGAAGACCCTCCCCCCAAAGCATTCCTAAATTGCCACTGAGCAATGGAAGCTCGGAGACAAGAGCTAAGGAGGTTTAGTCAAGAAGAATAAAGGGAAAATGAGGGATATAAAACAGTGGTGCCATTTCCAGCCACTCTCCAAATGAAATGTGACAGCCTTTCCACATGGATTTACCAATCTGAGCACACACAGTTCATCAGACCCTATTTGCATTATTTCCTGCTGTGGCTTTTACTTGACATTTATGTGAATTGGCTCCAGAATCCATATTAAATGGCACCTTCCCAGATTTTTTTTTTCCCAAAGAATCTACAGACAAAATGTGTATATGAATACATTTTTATCTAGTCTATAAATGTAGCGGCTCCTTCAGATTGTACTGAATCTACATTTGCCTGTGCATGTCTACATTTCCTCATGTTTCTGTGTCCATCTTTGGATTTCATTTCATCAGGGAACTCTGGAAAAGTCTGGGAAAGTATCTGCATTTTTTCAGCAATGCAGTGAATGGCAGTGAAATTATTAAGAACTGATTTCCAAGATGCTTATTGAATGTTGGTGACAAAATAAAGTCCTTTCTTTACAGATAGTTTAAGATTAATTCTTAGGAGGAGAGGAATGGGGCACATCTATATAAGCATCCCCATATACAGAGGATGTATAGAGAGGCATATATGGAATATGTATTTATATACTACCCCTAAATTTATTGGGTGAAAAAGTTTCAGAGGATATTGAGAAAAGAACTGGCAGTTGAAGAAGAGCCTACATATTCAGATATGTAGCCAGTAGGTAAAAACTGACTCACATGCAGAGATGCTTGTGGTTAATAAATTTCCACATTTTGGCAAGGCCAGTAGGCTCATTCTCAGCTAGATAAGTGTGTAGGTTAAAAAAAAAGACAGTTTTAATTCTGGGGGCATAGTAGCCACTCCTTTATAGCATGGCTAACAGATGTTGGGAAACTAGAATCTGTGAAGTATACAGCAATCATGTAAAACAAAATGCTAGAGGAGACGCACCTGGGGATGCCCACATCTGTTAGCCCTCATGGCTGAGGTCAGGGCTATTTTGGAAGACTTCCATTGTGTCAGCTCACACAAGTCTCCAAGATTGCTTCTTGTCTGGAATGCTAGGGGACAGGTCCTGCTGGGAAAGCCCTCAGGCATTGTAGGTGGCCCATTAACTCTTTCAACTATTAACTCCTTCATTTCCTTCAAAGAGTAATTGACTGCTTTGCCCCATTGTGGCCCCACTGACTCTGGCCTTTCCTAAAGTACATTCTTTATTCATCAGTAAGCCTAGTGGCTTGACAAAGTCTAGCTCTCACATTCTCAGTGCTCTTTGGCACAGGTCATGTTATTCTTTCAGTGGCTTACGTGGTATGTAAACATAACACTCTAAGCTTACCTGGCCCTACTGTGTCAATTTCCTGCCTCCCCCGCACCCCTTGCCTTATTTCAAGCCATTATCACCCCTCCCTTGGACTAAAGTAGTATCTTTTAACCAACCTCCTTGCTTCTATCCACCCCCCACCCCATCCCAGTCTTTCCTCAGCTGCTGAAGTAATCATTTTAAAATGCAAATTTGATCGGATCACTTCCAGCTTAAAGTCCTTCTGTGATTTTCCTTCTGAAACTAAACCCAAACTTCTTAATAGGCCACACAAAAGGCCCCTACGGTCTGCAGCTTCGTCTCCTTGAATTCCCCGCTGACACCCTGTGCTTGAGCCATTGTAAGATACTTACACTTCTGTAAACATACTGTGTTCTTTCACACCTTCTTGTCTTTGCCCCTGCTGGTGCAATTCTATGCCTAAAATGCCCTTTCTCTCCTCTCTGCCTGACCAGCTCTGATTCATCTTTTTCTTAAAGGGCTTTAATTGAGATTCAATTCACATAACATATAATTCATTAATTTAAAGTGTACAATTCAGTGAGTTTAGTTTAGCCACAGAGTTGGCAACAATCACCACTATTTAATGCCAGAATATGTTTGTCTCCCCCAAAAGAAACCCTGTACCCATCAGCAGACACTTTCCATTTCTCCCCAACTCCTCCCCCTGGCAGTCATTAATTTACTTTCTGTCTCCATAGATTTTCCTATTCCAGATTCATCTATCTTTCAAGATTTCTCAGGTGTTGCCTCTTCTTGTTTGCCTCCCAGTCCCCTGATTTCAAAGTCTATCCTCTGGGCTCCAATAATACCCTATGCACAGCTCTGTCTTAGCACTTGTTCCATTGGATTCTCGCCTGCCTTCCCAGAGGAAATGATTTTCTCAGCTCTGAAACCCCGATGTCTAATACTTTGCCTGGCACATAGTTAGTGTTCCATAGCCACTGCTAAACCAATGAATGATAGGGAGGAAGGCCTCTCCATGCGTGGGTGAGAGATGAATGAATATATAGCTAAAGCCAGACGGTGAATGCTAAAGTGTCCATTTTTCAGCTCACTAGCACTTGAGTGAACTCAGCAACCACCACACTGATATCTCTTTCATCTCAACAGTTGATGCAGAGGCTCCAGAACCTAGGGAAACGTTACCATAAGTGGTGCAGAAGGAATATATCCTCAGGAAATATTCATGATAACAGCAGTTTAAGCTTTACCAGAGGGACTAACAGCAAGACTCTTAGGCCATCTTTCTGCCTAACTTTTTCATTTTCTATTTATTCTCTCTCTCTCTCTTTCCCTCTCTCCCCCCCTCCCACTCTCCAAACACCCTTAGGATATTCACCCTTATTTTTAAAGCACATTTTAGAATATCTCTGTTTAACAATGTAGGTCTTAAGATTTTTAAAAAATACTTTAGCATGAGACGTCTGAACATGAATCTACTTTGAACGCTGTTCAATTGTTCCATTTCAATGCACCACATTTCTTTTTTCATGACGGGACATTAAAAAGCTCATTAGCAAGGGAATATAAACAATTTGAAAACTTGATGGAATATAAAGATGCTAAGAACAAAACTATCTCATTTTCAGCATTTTCTTGACTAGAGACAAATGGGGTGTGCCCTGACTGTCTCTGTTTTTCTCCCTGTTTCAACTTCCTTAAATCTTTTCTTCTAATCTCTTATCCCATCTTTCTTGTCTCCCCTCCCTTCCATTCCAGATCTCTTTCCCTCTTTTTTTACTCTCTCCTCTGCCCATTTTGCTATTTGAGCCTTTCTTTACATTTCCCTGATTCCCCTCTACTTTCTCTTTCATCTTTCTTCCTGACTAGCCCATTTTCTCTTTCTTTCCTCCCATTCTTATCACCCAGGATGAGGTAGGGAAGCGGGGGAGATGAGTAGGAAAAGAGACAGGGAAGAAATCTGGGTGATTCAGGCCAGGGCACATCCCCTTTGGTGGCAGATGCTGAGATAAGTGAGGACATCCCCATTGTCAATCTCTCCCTGTCTCTGTGCCTCACTTCTCTCCTCTATAAAATTAAAGCGAAATAATACCTTCCCAGACTACCTCCCAGAGATGTTAGTGTCAAACCGGAATGAATATGAGAAAGGTTTGAAAAGAAACAGACCCCTGTGATTGGAAAGCACTGGGGGGAAAGGGTGGGAGGATGACTGCTTTGCACTGTGCAGGGACCTAATTAACTGAGGATTGCAGTTCTTACCCTTTTGAGGAATGTGTTTCTTTTTACCTTTATTCTACTCACCCAATCACTTGGTTGTCTCTGTACTTTGTTTGAATGTTCTTACTGTCTTCGGAGGGGAAGGAAAACTTGCTCCTTTTTATGCTGTTGATTTTTATCCCTTCCTTTTCTCTTGCCTTGGGCTAGCAAATGGAACCTCCAGCAGCCAGCTCTCTACCCCCAAGTCTAAGCAGTCTCCCATCTCTACGCCTACCAGTCCTGGCAGCCTCCGGAAGCACAAGGTATTATGTCTCTTATACCTTACTAAACTCCTTTGCACTCAGAGTTTCTTGAATGGCTGGGTGAAGGTTTACCCTTCCATTCTACTTCAACAGCACATTAAGGCCAGACTTCCTTTTCATCTGGTTCCATTAGCTTGAAATTCTGGGAATCCCAGCAGGGGCCAAGCTTTTAGTCATTTCTATTTATTCCTCTGACCCCTGGTTTATTTATTTCCAGTTACATTCTGTCCCAAGTACCTATTCTGAGATAATGAGGAACCAAACCGTGTCTTGGGGGTAGGTTAAGCAATTCTCTCCCCAATTCAGAGACATAGCAAAGGAGGTGTTGAGGGCAACCTATGTCACAAGTCACCAGTCAATATAAATGACAAAGATAGCAGTCAAAAATAGTTGCACCAAGTTACTCCCTTTAGATTTCCTGGATATCAACAAATGAATAGACCCCAATTTTACCATGTACTCTTTTTTTTTTTTTTTTTTTTTTTTTAGACAGAGTCTCTCTCTGTTGCCTGGACTAGAGTCCTGTGGCTTTAGCCTAGCTCACAGCAACTTCAAACTCCTGGGATCAAGCGATCTTCCTGCCTCAGCCTCCCGAGTAGCTGGGACTACAGGCATGCACCACCATGCCCAGCTAATTTTTTCCATATATTTTTAGTTGGCCAATTAATTTCTTTCTATTTTTAGTAGAGACAGGGTCTTGCTCTTACTAAGGCTGGTCTCGAACTCCTGACCTCAAGTGATCCTCCCGCCTTGGCCACCGAGAGTGATAGGATTACAGGTGTGAGCCACTGTGCCCAGCCTCATGTACTCCTCATTACCAGGCAGATTCTGGTTCATGTAGAAAGAGAAGGCCGCTTACACATTGCATTGGCAACATTTATACCTCTTCAGCTATTCCAAATAAATATATCATTAAAATAATAGAAGTGTGTAAATTCTCTGGCCCCACTATCTAAACAGATTCCCACCCAGAAATCTCTCCTGTATAGAAAATCTCGAGTGGTCACCACCTTGAACCTCTTATAGCAGAGGCAGTGTTGATGTGGTTTCTTCTCTGATTACCACACTGTGGAGCAGCTTCCTTTCTGACTCTCTTGCTTTCTCCAGGCTCACAAGCCTTGATGTGTGATGGACAAAGGCAAGAAGCCACCAATGGCTAACACCATTATAGAACTATAGATGATCAGAGCTGGAAGACATTTTAGATGAAGATAAATTAGTTTCATTTGATTCTTTCAATAATCTTATGAGGCTGACATTTTAAAGATGAGGAATTTGAGACCCAGAAAGTTTAAATTACTTACTACAATAACATAACTAGCTATAGGGCTGGTATGCAAGTCACTGCCATTGATACACTACAGACAGTTCATACTAGCTTGTGGGAGCTGATGGTGTACATTGCTTTCCAACTCTGTTCAGTGACATTATGTTGGTAACTTGAACTTGGCCATGGTGGGAATGTTTACACCATGGAAATTGGCACATATTATAAATCAAGGTGGATGGGTTTTTTTTTTTTTTCTCACAGAAAGTCAGTTATTAAATTTAACAGCATGTCACTACCTTACATCCTTTTTCTCTACATCAGGCTTTTAATTTCCTGGCTAATCTGGCCATTGCCTGCCCCATCATTTCTAATCCCCGTTGCATTCCTTTAATGACCCCTTTAACTTCTGACCAGGACCTTCTGATTGTCCTGCTGAGCTGTTTCATTTCCCCAAAGAGAGATTCACAAAACTGTGCGTGTAGCCAGTCTCACCCAGAGATTGTGAAGTAGATTAAAATTGCTTTTACACTTGAACTTTAGTTATTCTTTGCTGAGCAGCAAAGTTAGTTAATATGGTCATTCAAGATAAGAGGAGCCTACTTCTGTTTTTCCACTATCCTCAGAGCACCTCCTATATACTATACTGCTTCTTACTATATCTTTGCCCTATGCCTTTCTGCCCTTACTTTCCTTCTGGGAAGTGTGAGCTATCCTAACCCCTTCCATCAGTACCTTCCCCAAAATGCTGAAGGCAGGTTAGGCATTCGGTTGCACACTCGAGACATTCAACTTTTCAACTGACATGTCCGGTTCATTTAGGCTAAGGAACTGTCATCCATAAAGCCATTGAGATGACTGTTGGCATTGTTAAACTATTTCTCCTGGTTGGGCTTGCAAGCACTTGTGGCTTGTTTGTTTTTTGACTCAATTCTAAAAACTATTTTAACCATTGAAGGACTAGAATCAGCTCACAGGTGGTAGCATTGTCAGAGCTTTTTGGTGTATCATTATATTTTTAAAATTACTCCTTTTAAGACAGTTAAGCAAACAAACATCAAGTAATAAATTATATCATTTTCTAGAGCAAACTTTTAAATAAACATTTAGATTTTGGTACAATTCTCACTATTTTTAAAACTTTTTATTTTTATATCATTTCAAACTTACAGAAGAGTTGCAAGAATATAAAGAACTTCTGTATCTCTTTACACAGATTCACCAGTTGTTTACATTTACTTTATTTTTTGGTGTTCTCTCTCTCCCTTTCCCTCTCTCTCTCTCTCTCTCTCTCTCCACACAAACACACACACTCACACACACACAGATTATTTTTTCCGAAATGATTTGAGATTAAGAGCAAAGATTATGCCACCTTTGCGCCTAAATACTTCAGTGTGTATTTCCTAAAAACAAAGACATTTTCTTTCATAACCATAGTACAATTATCAAAATCAGTAAATTTAACACTGGCACAATATTATATCTTATTTAGTTCATATTCAAATTTTATCAATTGCCTCAATAATATTCTTTTCCTGGTCCAAGATCCAATGTAGGATCACACATTGCATTATTATCATGTCCCTTTAGTCTTCTTTAATATGCAAAAGTTCCTGAGACTTTCTTTATCTTTCAGTACAGTATATTATAGAAATAAAGAGTACAGGCCAGTTATTTGGTAGAATGCTCTTCAATTTGGGTTTGTCTGGTGTTTCCTTGTGATTAGACTCAGATTATGCATTTGGGGTGGGATACAAAAGGAGTGATGTTGCATCCCTCTCAGGGCATCCTATCAGAAGCCAATACCCTCATGCTTACATCACCAGTAATGGAGATTGAACTGTTTTTTCCGAATAAGCTAAAAAGTGTCTTATGACCTTGGCTCGGTCCTCCTGGGTGTCAGGTCCCACCTTCGTACTCCTTCTTTCACACAGCTACCTGAGCCTTAACACCATGGAGTCCCTGGGCAGTGGGCCTGAGCAGATCTCATCTGAACTTCTATCCAAGTGGACCTGAAAGGTGTGAGTCATAGTGGAGACAGGAAGCAGGTGGCTGAGGCCATGACTTTCCTCCTGCGCAATTGGAAACAAACTTGAAGTCCCAGTATCCCTTTGGTAACTTTTGATGGCTGTGGCGGGGGCCCTAAGCTGTAATCAGCTTCTTGGCTTCCCCTCTTAAGCAGCTCATGGAGAATCCTCTTTAATGCAGCTGCAATGGGGTTAGCCAAAGTCCGCATACTCAAGTGCTACAATATGGACACAAAGTATCCTTGGATAGTTAATGAGAACATTTTGCATTTCCATACTGCTTTATCCTATTGCACAGCCATTTTCTCCTTTATTCAGGTGATATCCCTATGAACGAGATAGGGCAGAGGGCATTTCCATTTTACAAATGAGAGAAAAGAGGTTAAAGACAGCCCCAGTGTGATTGAACAAAAATTTATTGAGGATCCCTTTAGAGAAAGTATTGTGTTAAAGATGTTCAAAGAATCTAGCAACATAGGGAAACTCTTTCATTTATATATATTTTTTTCCAGATTAGTGATTATACACATGCCTGGAAATTTGGAGACATTTTACACACAGGGATGTCTGGAGATTGAAAGAAAATATATTTGACATATTATTATTTGAAATTATAACTAATATTATTTAAATATACATTTTCTCTATGTTTCAGACTTCTCCTTTCCTCCAGTAAGTGCTTGGAGAGATAGTTTGATGAATAAAGCAGGGTCCAGACCCTTAAATCACAGATGCAACTAAGTCTAATATAAGTGGATTTGGGTAGTATAATAAAGAGCTAATGAAAAGACTACTGAGCACAAAGGAAGGTGGGAAACACATCTGACTGGGGAGGGGGGCCATGGGACTTGGGGAAAGCTTTTCACAGAGGTGACATTTGAGTAGGGCCTTGAAAGTTGGGTGGGCTTTTGATGGCTGGTGAAGAGAACAGGCATTCCAGCTTTAAAAAAAATCAGCAAGAATAAAACCAGACCATCATAAACGTGCAGGGCACATTAAGGAAATAGCAAACCCAAACTAGGTTTCTCAAAACTCCTCCTTGACTTCTTTTGGACTATAAGCTCCTTGGACCAGAGACCAACTTTTTGTTTGCTCTAACACAACAGTATCGCCAGCACAGCTGTATTTGTTACAAACATTTTGTTCTGTAGGGCTCCAAGGGACTAAGCAAATGAATTTCAGGTGCAAATTATTTGTATTGTTAAGCAATATGTGTATTTCTGTATTTCTACACATCAATCAACAAAAACAAAGTGTTGAGATAATTCCTTTTCCCGAACATTGTTGTAACCATACAAAAAATACATTTTGAATATGAAATAAACTGCTGGAAGTACACAAGTTCAGAAGTTCATAAGTAGGCCTAGTGCTATGAATTCTCCCCATATCCTGCTTCTCACCCTATTCATTCTGAGTCACAGGAGTTGCAAACAGAGTCTCCTCACAATTCTACCCTTAGGCATATCTCCCCTTCCTCTATTATGAAAGTCTGGAACAATCTTCTCAGATAATTATTCCCACCAACCAACCAACTCCACTGAAGTGTCTGTTGCATCAACAGCTAAGAGCAGGGGTAAATGCTGAAGCCAGTAGTTCAGTGTAATGGGACTTAAAGTGGCCCCCATATTATTAAAAGCCCTTGTTGTACTGCCTGAAAAATACTCAGGAGTTCACTAAATTGGCAGTGTCTCTCTCATTTCTCTTAC